TCGGTGTTCGGGCCCGGTAGGGGTATGTTTGGTGGACAGAAATTGGTGTAAAATGGGGTCTACGGATATGTTGGTTCTATGTACGTTGACGAAGAGTCAACGGGTTCGGATCAAGTACTGCAGATGGAAATCTGGCTCCTGAGAGCCACCTGTATCCTTCCTTTTGAATCACTGTGTCTAAATGCTTTCCTTTATATTTGGTATATGTATCTGATTGATTAAACGTGAAAGGCCATGATTTTACCCCTATATGTTTGGTACCTCATTGAGCGTAAGCTCACCCCTTTCTGTTGCCTTTGTTTTCCTTACAGGGAACCACTTTTGGGGACTATGATGTTTTGAAGCACGAGTTGAGCTAGTTTTAATATATTTTGTAAAGCTCCTCGATAGTTGGAAAAATCCTAAATGTATTTGATCCAATTATCTTCCTTTTGTTTTGTAACTTACAAACGTATGTGTATAACACTGTTTAACCCTGTTTATGTGTCCTATTTGGTTTGGAAATGTTTTTCCGAGTTGTATGACATGGCACCCACTATTCATCCATGATTTTGATTTTCGTTTGGCTATTTTGAGATTTTGACTTGTTTGAGCGCGCTTTTATTCTCCCGAAACGTTTTAGATCGTGTTTAACTGCACCGTTAGTCCTGGCGAGAGTTGGGCAGGCAGTCCGCTAACCTCTTTGGTTCGCCTTAGGGGAAGGTGGGGCTGTCACACCTTATCCCTCCGATATTAGAATGCTTTCCAATGGTTTAAACCACACACATGCAAGGAACACTCACCAACGATTAATGTTTAACAAAACCAATTTCAGGCCTGGCTCCTTGGTCAGATTCAAAATCTGCAATCAAATGTTGAATACAAAATACAATCAAGTAGGGTTTACAAATAGCCAACCCTCACTTGTGAATATCACAAGGAGATCATGTGAATAGAACTTATATACATAGACTTCATGAGCTTAGTAACCCTAAGTAAAATATATGCGCACTTGCTTTTGTTTTGGAAAGAAAACGATCGGATCTTTGAAGTTTAAAACGTGACATACGCGACTAAAAATCATGTTTTAAAATGGTCATTACTTTCACCTTGCAAAATATATAATTTTGGCAAAATTTCAGCTTACATATCACCTCCAAGGTTAACTCAAACATTCCTAAGCAAGTGAAGTCCTAATCGATTATAAATCACACCTCCATGTTCACTTTCACTCTCTTATCCTTCAAGAAATGAAATGGACAGCAATCCCTCGATTTTCGTTCAATTTTCCTCCAATTTTTCATGCTAAGCTTCATGGCAAAACAGCCCAAACACTACAAGAAAAAAGGTCATTAGTGACAACATTTCTTTGTGACGACAAAAAGTTGTCACAAAATGAGGTTGTTTAGTCACGACTTTGAAGGTTGTCACAATTGACTCAAAGCAACTGAGTTTTCAGTGACAACCTTTAATTGTCGTCACAAAACTATTTCGCGCCATAGGACTTGGATGGCGCGAGATTTGCCATAGTGACGACTTGATAAATGTTGTCAGTAATTTTACCGCTTTTTTTGACAACTTTTCATTGTTGTCACTATTTATGTTTACTGACGACAAATTTTTGTCAGTAAAACTATAGCGTAGTTAGTGACAACATAAGTATCATCACTAACTTGAACATCTCTAATGCATTTATTTAATTGTGAGCCTCAATATTAATTTAATTTTTTAAAATTTGATGATTTATTAACTATGACTTTATTTAATTGTGAGCCTCAATATTAATTTAATTTTTTTAAAAATTTGATGATTTATTAAACTAGTCATAGTTACTTAAATATTAATTTAATTTTTTAAAAATTTGATGATTTATTAAACTAGTCATAGTTACTCAATAGGTTTTTAACTGAAAAAAATTAATGAAAGTTTCTAGTTATAACAACTATATAAACTATTACAACTTGAGAAAGAATATATTTACTAGTTCTTTGAATTTAGCAAAAATTTTTCATCCATTATAATTTTTTGATAAATATGTTAAGAAGTAGTGATTAGAAATACATTAGTAAATTTAATTAAAATTTGAAGCTAAAAATTCACTTGTAATATTAATATCGGATCAACTGTTTGATGTCATAAAAATTAACTATTTGAAGCAGATCCAAGGTGCATTTACCGCTTGTAATATTTCAACATAATTTTCTCATCCATTATGAATATTTTTACAAAAATATTTAAAAGTAGCAAGTAATATTATATTAGTAAAATATTAATTCAACTAAAATGTTGGAAACTAAAAAACGTTGATTGAAATTTTGGTACTGAACAAGGGGGAAATCTAAGGAATTGAAATTTCATTCAAAGTCAATATTTTGAGGAGAGGCGCGGAAACACTTAGAACACTTAGAACGAAATAGCCAACACTACCAGTATCCTAAAGCCAACACTACCAGTTTCACCGAACAAAACACACACTATCAGTATCCTAAAGCCAACAGCTAACACTTAGAACCAATCGTAGCACACTGCTCCTCGCCATCTCCTCGCCGAAACATCTCCTCGCCCGTCTCCTCGCCATCTCCTAATTGATCTTGGCTCGGAAATGATCAAATAGAAGACCACATTTAGCAGCAACTCTCTACCAAAAAAGGTATGCCGATTCTCTTTTTCCTCCCTAATTTTCCCCCAAATGTTTTGCCCTAATTTTTTTTTTGCCAAAAGTCCAGTTTTTTAGGTTTCATTTGATTTATGGATGGAGTCATCTCCTCCTTTTGGATTCTACTTACTTGTGGGTTTTACCCTTGTTAATTTTTTGTCAACATTTTATTTCGGGTACGTATGGGTTCATAACAGCCTCCTAACATACAGGCTGTGGCTACACAGATTTAGCCCTTTCCTGATCCCTTGAATTCCTCAACAATTGTGGCTACATAGGTTGTGGCTAATTGAGATTGTAGACGAGTTTGTGTTTTGCATTGCACACAGTAGATTGATATATAGCTATCATGCTAATTGAGCTTGTAGACGAGGCTGTGTTTTGCATTTTAATTCCTATTCGCAAGAGTATATTGAAACAATAAAAGTTCTTGATATATAGCTATCATGCTCTGTCCATGGCATGGTGTGAGAACCCGTAATTTTTCCAATTTCTAGGTTTTATTGCTTTAAGTTTTGAGTCCTGGCGCGAGCTAGGCAGGCGGCCCGCCGATACCCTTGGGTTCGCCCTTGGGAGAAGTGGGGTCGTCACACATGGGGCCTGAAGAAAATTGATAGAGATGCTTTGAATGTATTTTGGACTTTCCTTCTTGTCCAGATGGTAAATAACAATTTATGGATACTCGCACCAAGAAAAGGAAAAAGAAAGAAAAAATGTCTTATGTCTAGGACCCATAATAACTCAATCACAGCAAATGCTGGATGAAGACTGTCCTTATTGAGGAACTATTTCACTCGTTTTCTTCTTATTTTTATCTTGGATTTGTGTATCAATTTGCTTTCAAAGAAAATCCAGATTAAAAAAAATGGGATGTTGACTTGTGGAAAATGTGAACCAATTAATGTTGAATATTGATTTGAGTCCCATTTCGGATGGTTTTGTTCCTATCCATTTATTATCATCACTTTTTTTTGGAATAAAGCAAAGTGGTCATATTGTTGTGCTCACATTATAGTATTATACTTAACAAATTTGAAAATTAGATAACCTTCATTGAAGATTTTATAAAGTGGCTTTGTGGAAAATTCTTAACATTTATAACTGCTAAATGTTGTGGTGTCGTGAAGGCACCAAGTTACCATGTTACAACTGGTAAGTTTACTTATGTAAGATGTAAATTCTGTTAAGATAGTAGATGAATTTTCGATATCTTACCATTAGTATGGCGAGATTTAGTACTTACATACATTTCAAAGGGTGCACAATACAACTCTCACTGAAAATTAATCAAAACTGCTAATCATTTGACTGCAAATTTTGGACCCAAAAGTAAAATTGTAGACAACCTCAAACACGAGAGAAGAACAGATAAGCATGAAAACATTAAGCGGGAACAAAAGAAAAAGAAAAAAAGAACTAGACAAAACTACTATCAAACTTTTGACTGGGGTAAAAACTTTAATGGTGCCTTTTCCCTAATTGGTCTTTCCAGGGCCTTAGATAACAATGGCCACTGATTGCGCTAGTTTGTTAATGTGATCTTAGTGCTGTCCCCAAAAACCTCAACTGAGATCTCACAAGGAGCTGAACTTGCCTAATTAAAGTAAGGGTTATTTATTCATTAGATACTCATTAAGAAATAATTCAAGTGTTAAATTTTAGAAAATTAAAGTTAAACAGAAAAATGCATAAATATAAAAGAAAATAATAATTGCGAATATGTATATTCAGATGATAAATAACATGTGATTAAAATATTTTAACTAGTGTTGAATGAGATAAGAACACCTTTTAAAATATTCTACCTAGACTTAATTAAGAACTAATAACTTTAGAGGGATACCCTTTTTAAAATTTTTATACTGCTCCAGGTAATGATAGCCATTGATTGAACTAGTTGTTTGTTACTGTGATCTCAGTGCCGTCCCAGGAAATCTCCACTGAGATCTAATAATTAAATTTCTCCCCTGTCCTTTTCGTTTTGTTGTCTTCTTTATGAACCAAAAGTTTGTTTCCTTTTTGACAAGAACGTCCAGGTGTATTTGTGACATGTTTGACAGTTAGTTTCCTTTTTGTATTTATGAACCAAATGTGTAGTTGTGACATGTTTGAATTTACTAATAGCTGTGTTGTATTTTGTTTAATTTTTATTATTGTTGTATGGGAAGATTAATTTCCTGTATTGAGCTTAATTTCCTATATTTATTATATGTGTTGTCTTTGTAGTATCATGGTTGCGTATTTTTTTGTGTTAGGATCAACAGTGCTTGTGAAAAAACATGGATAGGAGTTGGATGACAATTAAAGATTACTTGCATCCTAGATATTTGGCAGGAGTGAAAGAATTCGTTGAATTTGCTTATTTAGGCAAGGATGTATGTGCCAAACATGGGGTAAGGAATCACTAACAGTTATTATTAATTGTGATTTCCTTAGATTTTAGTACCAAACAGGCGCTTTTCATTTTTCAGTTATGTGTGGGGTAAAATCCAATTCCCCTGAGGAAGGCATCATGTTATATGGTTGTAAAGCTAACTAATTAGTGTAGCAACTGTAACACATTTGATTTGAAGTTCACGGATGCACTTTAATTGGAAGCTCAATTTCTTGAAATCTCAGGTAACTGCTCAGACAGCAACAGAAGTGGGAGATCCTAAAGATGCCATTTGTGAAGCAGTAGAAAAATTCAAAGTCAGCATGCTAGTGTTGGGCAGCCATGGTCGGGGAGCCATAAAGAGGTCAGTCTGGCCACCTTTTATACATATTTGAGGCTCCATCTCTAAGAAATGAAAATACAATCCACAAAAACATGCAGTTTCTGGAATACCTTTCAAGGTTCTATCTTTCACTATGTATGAGTTTCACGTTTCAGAGTCTGGAGCATTGATCATAGACCTTATAGCATTGTACATACATGAGCGTCTGGTTTGTGGCATTGTCCTATTTGCCTATTGGACTGATGGAAGTTACTTTGCAACTTGGATTTCAGGGCTTTTCTGGGGAGTGTCAGCAACTACTGCATCCACAATGCCAAGACCCCTGTTCTTGTCGTAAGGAAAAAAGATTGAAAGAGTTGGCTGTAAATCGTGTTAAACTTAATTTTGCTGCAAAAACCAGTGAAGGGTGCATACTCCTAAAGTTGTACATCCCAGATTTCGCGAAATAGATACAGAAACGCTTGCATCTTGCAGGTTTCAAAGGTTCATGGCAATTCTGGACCTGTCTCTCCCTTTCATTCTTGTGGGTGCCACTTATTATTCTCAGTGTTTTGAACACAAACTAGTGTAGTGTCTATGTCACTACTGGTCGTTGTGGAGAGAGTAGGAAGATTTGATATCTGCTTACTAATTTAGGTTAGGAATGAACGGCAAAAACAAAATACTGATTTAGCTTTTTGAATACTTGCTAAACATTAATGTCATGCAATTTCTAGTTTAGCCTAATGATTTGCTATGTGGTGTCCTGATTCTAGTTTTTCTGTCTTGCAATGACATTTAGGCTTTAAAGCTCAAACGGAAACTTTGATGGCTCCTAATTACCGCCTTTACTCTGGAAAATCCTTTCTTTCCTAGTTGAATTTTATCATGGCACTGTCTTCTTCATTCCCTTTGTCTCTGCTGACCAAAGCTTCTGATTTCTTGTTAGAAATATGGTGCAGAGAATTTGTTGTTCTGTCTCAGACCACCTTCGTTTCTGAAATTAGCTCCTACTTAGTTGCCAAAAACTGTTGTTCTGATGATATGTAAAGTTGCAGATGGAAATGGTAAAGTAATTCAAGTAAAGAACTAATTACTAGTAAATTAGCAAACATGAACCTGAAGAGGACCTAATTGTAGCATTGACAGAATAACCATCTTCAAGAAGCCTTTTGATCAACCATAATGCCAAAAAGTCCAGTTCCACCTGTTACACATACTCTCCCCTTCTCCATCTTCTCCCCTTCCATTAATTTGTGTCCGTCTAGCCTTTAATACCAGTATAGTACTGTTTGGTCTCTCTGCAGTGGATTGTCAGTTTCAACTTGAAGAATTAATGTATTTCTAGTATAGTATTTCACTTGAAGAATACCAGTATAGTACATGCGAAATGTATTTCCTTCAAGTAGTTAAAGGGAATCTTCCTTGTTAGTTAGACTGTTGTGCTGAGTCAACAATCAAGTAGTTATTTTGTTATTCTTGAGCTGTATAAGAATGCAGAAATCTGGATTGGGCAACATGGAAAAATCATTTTGAATAATATCTCTCTTTCTTCTTCCTCAAGTCTAGTTTCTCTCCCCCTTATCACTCTATTTCTGCTACAATTGCTGCATTCATTACGGTGGTATCAGATTAGTGAATGTTTGTTACTTTTGTTGTTTATTTAGCAATTAGAGACTGTTTTGCTTTTGTCACCTGATAACTTTACTACTTTATTGCAGATATATTGCTCATTTTGGAGGTTTCGAAGAAGATTAGCAGTACGGCTTACATGTCGGCTCAAAAGCTGTGGTTATAGTGCTGTCTTAAGTTTAGAAAATGTTTCAGAAGCGCAGGAAATGTTTTGGGACTTGGAATATGTTTTTTAGTGTAGCCTTGACTTATATGAGTAGTATTTGTTCTACTCAAACTTATGAAACTATTTGTACTATGATGTTGCACTTATTTATGACATTTGAATATTTAATATATTATTTTGGCATATTCTATTGTAACGGGTGCCTACATTTGTTATTTATTAAACATTGCTGATATTTTCATTTTTTGGATATTATTGTAGTAGGAAAGTCATGTGTAAGGTGTTGTAAATGAGTAGTATTTTTCTAGGCAGGATGTCTTTATTGACAATTGTTATTGTCACTCAATCAAAACTGTCTATTGATAAGGGATTGTTGCCACAGTTGATCAGGGGTTTATTGACAACAAAGTTGTCACTAATTCCCCTATGCCCTCACTATCGTCCCTTCATGCATCACTTGCATCACTGACAAGAGAAGGTGTTGTCACTAGATTTATAGCTTTTACTGATGACATATGTTGTCATAAAAAGTTTCATTCACTGACAACTCTAAGGTCGTCACTGTATACTTTCATCTTTTACTGACGACATAGATTGTCATAAAAAAGGTTCTATTTACTGACGACTTTAAAGTCGTCACTGTATACTTTTACCGACGGAGATTCAGTGATGACCTTGCGACAACTGAAATGTTGTCAATAATGGTCATCAGTGACGACTTTTTGATTATTTGTGACGAAAAGTAGTTATCACTGATGACCAAAATTCTTGTAGTGAAATCATCTCCACCACTGATAAGGAAAAGGGGTTCTTAGACTAGGCTACAAAACCAACTAATTTAGACTTATCTATAGTATATAAACATAATAAATACATGATCCAAGTATGAAATGGAGTGCAAGTAATCGAGAAAATTCGGTTTAAAAACCAGAAAATGTTTCCAAGACCCTTCCAAGCTCTTGTCATTTCATAAAAAAAATTCCAGCTTTTGTAACGCTCTGTGAATAGTCATAACTTGAGTTTCGTAAGTCCAAAAATTATAAATATTATATCGTTAGAAAATAGACTCAAAGTATTACAATTTCCCAAAAGACGCATTTGTAAGATTCTGTCCGCAATTCAGTCAAATTCCAGTCTCAAGTTGTTGCTTCATCCGGTAGAAAAACAGAATAGGTGCGGAAATTTAGTCAACTTCGAAAAATCACAGATATTCATAGGAATTGAGAAACATTCTGAAAATTTTATGGTAAAGTACTCTGAATCTAGTTTCAAACTCAACAAACAGAACTCAATTTGGATTTTTTTACACCAAGATATAACAGATTTCCCAAGACTGCTCAAAGTCTCTTGTGGGAAAAATTTTCAGCAGCACTTCCCCTTATTTTCTCTAATTTTCAGCCATTTTCAAGGCTTCATTCTCACCACAAGACAGCCACAAATCAAGTTCACAAGGTATAGGATACATAGAGTACTTATTTTAGCCACAAAACTAGCTATAATCAACATATGCCTAAGTTGGAAAATTCTCTACCAAGGCTGGAATTTTGCAACAAAAGCTAGAAATTCTTATTTGGAAGCTAAAAAGTAATATTAAAGCTAGAGCATCTCTTATCAAAGCCGAAAATTCATCTCAAAGCTAAAAATTGAACATTAAAGATGAAAATTAACCAAACCCTAGCAACAACTTCACCAAACCCTAGCAAAACCATGAATTTACCATAAACATGCTTCCTTTAATTTCAATCATAACATATCTTGCATAAATCTCAAGAAACAAGTAAAAGAGATGTTATCTAAGAATTTTTGAAGTGGAAGATGAAGAAACTCTCTTGGTTTCTCTCTCACTAATTTCAGCCAAAGGAGACAAGAAAATGAATGAATTTTGGTCAAAAATCTGATTTTAGTAAAATTACCAATCTTGGTCAAAAGTCCAACTTCTAATAGCATAGTGACACTTGGCCCCTCTAAGGGTTTTAAGCTTATCCTTTTGTCTAACAAGGGAAATTTATCTAGTTAACTTCCAATTGTCTCCTAGCACCTTGTAAAATAATAATACTTAGCACAAAAATCACTTAATCAACAAAATTTTATCGCACTAGCGGGTCCCACGTCCATAACGCACTTCAAATTTAACCCGAACTAACTTATACTAGAAAAATGGTTGGAAAAACTATATTTACTTATAAAGTGTCCAGAAAATTAAAGTAGTAAAATAAAATAAGGAAAATGCATGAAAAGGAATAGAATTAAATGGTATAAATTAAGAAAAAATTTTACGGGCTCGCACACTCTCTCCCTGTTAAAAAAATTTCGTCCTCAAAATTTTCCTTTTAATGGGTTCCATCAAATCTAAAATAACCAATGACCTGTACCTTCTACGTCCTCAGAAGAAACGAGGGTCTCAGCTAAGATAACTCCGTCCGATCTCTCACGTCACTTACTATCCAAACTAGATGTCCATTGACCTCTTGTACTCATTCTAGCCAGACAAAGCTTGTTCATGTTCCCAAAATGCAAATCTCAAATACTTAACCCCGCCTCAACTTTGGAGTACTCGGGCACAAGAATCCGAAATAAGACAATTCACGTCTCGAGCTGGCCAGTCCCAAGAGTAAACTATCTACAATCGAAATTCCTCCCTGACGTACCTATCTATGTTCCTCAAATATCACCCGAAACATTTAAGGCCTATAACGTTCACAATTCATAGCTTATGCTCGAACAAAAACTTAATCCTTCATAACTATTCACCACTCAGTTCAGGCTCACTCCGCGCAGAGACCACGCGAAGCAGGCTCTGATACCACCTGTGACAGCCCCACCTCCCCCTAAGGCGAACCAAAGGGTTCGGCGGACCGCCAGCCCAGCTCTCGCCGGGACTACGGATCCGGAACGAGCGTAAACCCTTCCAACGGGTCAAAAGAACTTCGAGAAGATAACATTCACTGTCCGAAATCCAAACAAGCACAACAACTTTAGATAACCCTAGAAAAGAACATTTCCAAACCAAATCAACTTAGGAACATGGTTAAACACTTTTCGATACCCATGGTTGCAAATTTACAATTCAAAAGGGAATTGTTTGGTTAAAATACATTTAAAGTTTTCCAACCATCGAGGAGCTATACAAAAGAATACTAAAACTAGCTCAACTCATGCTTCAAACATCATAGTCTTCAAAAGGTGATTTCCTGTAAGGAAAACAAGGATAACGAAACGGGGTGAGCTAAAAGCTCAATGAGGTACCAAAAATATAACAGTAGAAATCATGAGAAAACATTTATAGGACACATATCCGCATCAAGTAAAAGAAATGAACGAACATCACAATTTCAAGGATACAGGTGGCTCTCAGGAGCCAAATCCCCGTTGCAATACTTGATCCAGCCTTGTTGACCCTCCGTTAACGTTCAAATAAAGGAACCAGTCCAGTAGATCACCACTTTAACGCTAAGATCCCGTTCACCAAACATACCCCTTACCGGGCCCGAACGCCAAACAGGAACAAGAATGGTAATACTCGAGTATACCGGAATCAAGAGTCTCAATACCCAAAGATTCCCCCAGGAACAGGCACCCATGGATTGTCAATTATCTCGACCAAGCCCTCGCTGGCTCGATTTAATTAACTCCCTATGAGGTTGAGCTCAGGTTTAACAGGAAGG